CCAAGAGGAAAAGAGTGTGAAAGTATGGAGTAAAAACATCAGACTGGTAACGAATTTCGAATAAAAATGCCATGACAACCAGATAAACAACGATGTCAAAACATGTCAAATTTTGGTTTCAGGCTTGTAATAGAGAGACGGCAAGATTTAAGTGAAAAAATGAGATATTATTGATATAGGAAAAAAGGTAGCGCAACAGTGCGCACGAAGCCCGAAATTGCAGAGTTACGGAGAACTAAATAAAAGACCGAAAAAGGTAGACTCCATTGACACCGATTTAAAAAGTGCTGATAACGTGAAAATACGAAGTGAAAATGATTTGTTATTGTGTTCTTATGGTTTAAAAACATTACAGGATCCTATGGAAATAAAGGTGATGCAAAATATCCAGTTTTGAGGTGAATGCAGAAAATCAAAAACAGAATGGAAAAATAAATTTAAAATAGTGTAAAATGATATGTAAGTAGCATAACACTACAAGGTATGCTAGCATTTGTTTGCCACAGGTCGTTTCTGAACTCCGTAAAGAGAACTGCAACCGCCGCATCATCCTCCATCACGACAATGCGAGTTCTTACACCGCACACAGAAGAAAAGAGTTTTTAAAGCAAGAAAACATAGAATTATTAGACCATCCGCCGTACAGCCCCGACCTAAGCCCTAATGATTTCTATACTTTCCCTAAAATAAAGAATAAATTCTGAAGAAGCTGTGGACGCCTACAAAACGGCAATTTTGGAGACCCCAACTTCCGAATGGAATGGTTGCTTCAATGATTGGTTTCATCGTATGGAAAAATGTGTCAAATTTCGCGGAGAATACTTCGAAAAGCAATAAATACATTTTTAAATAGTAATGTTGTATCACTTCCTTGATTCCCGAAATTTTCAGTGCCGCCCTCGTACATAATGTAACGTAAGTATCCAGAATCTCGTTGCACTTAAAATATCACTACCTTCAATGTCAGTATAGTCATCACATGTGCCGATATCAAAAAAAATATCCTGGCGGCGGAAAGCAATAACATGGGCAGCGATTGTTGCTTGCTATTGACTGGTAGAGCCACGCTGCAGCTATATTATGATTATAGCACGAAAGGGTCAGCTCTACCGGGAAAGGAAGGACCACGCCTTCACAGAATACCAGCGCAAAATTGCGCCTTAAGGCTGATGTATTTCGTATGGCACTCACCATACCGAGCGCATAAGAAAACCGTATACCCTTTTTACGAGGGTGACACTGAAAGTTATTAGAACATAAAAAACTAAACAAACTAGTAAGTTATTAGTTATATCTTTTCAAAATAATGTCCATTTACATCAATACATCGCTGCATCCGATGGAACCACTGAGAAAAGCACTTTGCCCACTCGTCCTTAGGGGTCTCTTAGACGGCATTTTGATACGCAACCACCAGCGTCCATAAAACGTTTTTCTAGAAGTTTTTCTTTTATTTTCGGAAATAAATAAAAATCGCAGAGAGCGAGTTCGAGGCTAAAGGGCGGGTGACCCAGAAACTTCACGTCTGACGTCTCCAAGTAGTCGATTGTTTGCTTGGCGGTGTGTGACGAGGCGTTGTCGTGGTAAAGGAGGATCCTACTGCTAGGTCGTTTCTCCCGAACTATTTCCAAGACAAGTGGCAAAAAATTGTTAGTGTGCCACTCTGCAGTAACTGTTTTTCGATCCTCTAAAACAATTGTTTCTTCCTTCACCAATTGTCCCTCACGTAGATTATCGGTTAAATTAATGCGACCACGTTTAAACTCATTAAATCAGTTGTAAACAGTGGCACGAGATGGGGCTTTATCATGAAAGGCCAAGTCTATCACAACTTTCTTGTACATCGAAATTCATAAAAAATCATTGTACAAAAATTTTCTCGCGTTAAATTCATGCTGACGTGGCAGACGAATTTCAATTTGCCACGAAATCGTAAACAATTGACAAATTAATAAAATAAATACACAATAATATTGGCAAACAGTTCCATTTTCAAAATTCGAACTTATTTTTTATTATATCGTTTACAAGTGGCCAGTTTTAAAAACTTTCAGTGTCGCCCTCGTACGAGCAACGAGGCATTCTATCTTAGTCGAGATGACAACGCATCTGCATTGTGATTTAGAATTGAGGATAGATGTAAATATCTACGAGGCCACAGCATCCACTTACCATCAGGTGTACTGTGTGCTCATTTCTCAGTCAAATTCTATTAAAAAAATATTTTCACTGATGTGAGCTAGGGAAGACCCATGATCAGATATACACTGTCTAAAGCCAAATGATCATAACAATATTTATTTTTATTGGGTTGCAATATCTGTAAATCTATCAGACTTGGTGCGATTAGTCCAAACGTCAACCCCACTCAGTAACCCCGCTGATAAATGGACAAAGTCCTATTAAAAATGTCAAACCCCAATACCCACTACACACACAAGCTGGGCTGGGGCGCAGCATCAATAGTACTAAGTAACCGGGTCTACGTTTTACAAACCCGTCAGCCCTTTGATAAGCACATAAAACTATTTTAATAAATGTATGACATCTATAGACTTATTAACTTATTATACTACTGCGTATGGACCCGGTCATTGAACAAACAAAATGGCACCGAGTCCTTGGTGCGAAAATGTTTATGGAGCACCAACGCAAGCACCAATGCGTGCCGTGCGTCCGTGCAGTGTTTCCACTTTTAGATATTTTGCACTATTTTAGGGTAAATCTACTAATATAGGTAGGGCTTTAGGTGTTTCAAGTTGACAGGGTTTAGGATAATTTGGGGTAAAATCGAATTTCAGGTAACCCTCTTTTTTATGCCCATCCAATGTAATTTTTTTAAAGATTTATCAAAGGGGATAGTGTCAAAAGAGCTAGAAAAGTATAGAACGAAATAGTTTTCTATTTCTGTATATCGGAATAATGTAGTAATATTTTACTAATTTACATATTCGTTATTCATATGAGATTAAGTGTTATTATAATTTGAAAATGAGAATGTCTTCCTCAGTTCAAAACTCAAGATTTTAATCGTGAAATGATATTCAAATCTCGCAATGATGTTGTTCTTTAAAATATTGAAAATTAGGTGCAATAAACAAGGCTAATGTGATTTTTTTTTACAATTTAGGAAATATTTCTACACATTCTAGGGTGAAACTAAAATCATAAGTGGAAACACTGGTTCTGTGTAGTTCATGAGTATTTAATAGATGGCGCTGATTTATTCTATGTTTAAACCGTGAAAAATTTTTGTTCGCACGACCATATCTTGTCATTTATATCGATGATGACATCTTTACCCACCTAAAAAGGCCTATGTCCAGATATGGACATAAATTGTCACTATTATAATCATGGTGGGAAGATTTTAGTAGGGTTTTCACAGACTAAAAGTTCGTCTAGTAAGATAACAACCTCTTATCAATTTCTGTCGCCAAACAACTGTGCATATAGTGCTGTCTCAAACTTAAAATGTAAAAAGCCAATGTGATGACAAGCTGTAAGGCATTTCATCTCAGTCAGGTAACAACGAATCTGTGGATTTCTTTATTTGAAGACAGCTGTATGTGTCCATGGTATACCAAGCTACTGTCTATTAGGTATCCAGCTAAAGGGTCCGCCAAATAACTTTTTTTTTTAAAAAATGCTATTAAAAAAAACTACTAAATATTTTTTCAAATTTCTTTTTTTATTTGAAAGTACAATCCTTCCGGTTAATGATGGAAAATAATTTCATTCAAATGGCTGCCTCGGCTGGCCATGCAGTAGCCTACACGATCGGTCCAATTTTTGAGTACATTATCAATTGTGTGCAGCTGTATTTCACCAATGGCTTCACGAATATTATCATTTAAAGCGTCAACTGTCTCTGGCTTGTCGGCGTAACACTTATCTTTGACGGCACCCCACAAATAATAGTCCAACGGTGTCAAATCACAGCTCCGAGGTGGCCAAACGACATCAGCTCTGCGGCTGATAATGCGATTTTCAAAAACAGGGCGCAAAACATCAAGTGTAGCGTCGGCTGTGTGGCACGTTGCGCCGTCCTGTTGAAACCAAATGTTGCCAATATCCTCCTCTTCAATTTCTGTGAACAAAAATTCGTTCAACATGGCCCGATAACGATCGCCATTGACTGTAACGGCCACACCTTGCTCATTTTCGAAGAAAAATGGCCCAATTATGCCTCTGGACCAAAATCCGCACCAAACAGTGACTCGTTTTGGGTGCACCGGCTTTTCGATGAATGCGTGCGGGTTTTCTGTGCCCCAAATGCGACAATTCTGCTTGTTTACATACCCGCCAAGTTCGAAATGAGCTTCATCTGAAAAGATGATTTTTTTGGCAAAATCCGCATCTTCTGCAAGTCGATCGCAGGCCCACTTAGCGAAGCGAAAACGCATTGGATGGTCAGTTGGCTTCAACTCCTGAACCAATTGGATTTTGTACGGCGTCATACCAAGGTCTTTACGCAAAATTCGTCTCAATGATGTCTCCGAAATGTCCAATTGTTCAGAACGACGGTGAACTGATGTTGATGGCGTTTCACGCACACTTTCGACCACAGCAGCAATAATCTCGGGTGTACGCACTGTTTTTGGCTTTTCACGCGTTGGTTTATCGATGAGGATGCCAGTTTCTTTCACTTTTTTCACAAGGTAACGAACATACGGAGCTGACGGTGCTTCATTTCTTCCAAAATCCGTACGCAATTTTCGCACACATTCTGCAACATTACCATGATTTTCAAAGTAATGTCGCAATATTTCCCAGCGTTGTTCAAGCGTATACACAACCATATTCGTTCAGCGGAAGGATAAAACTAATTATCTGTCAAATTAGACATGAGCTAAGTGTTGCCATTCACGAAATAAGCACTAGTTGAAAAAAAAAGTTAGATGGCGGACCCATTACTACTACTAAATACATATTCTACTAGTCTGTTCTATTTACTAAATAAATTAGTGTAATATTATAAAATATACAAGATTTCTTACCTCTCGGCTTCAGCGAGAGCCATATCAACAGCTCTTTCACCGCTCTCGTCGAAGTCCAACGAGTAAAGTCCAGTGAAGATGTCCCGAACTTTTTTTGTCGCTTCACCACTGCCCATGAACTTTTCTAAGACGCCGGGGGGGAAGCGAGGGTTTGTTGAACCTTCTTTGTTCCAGCGAGTTGGTAATGGATTGAGGGGCATTTTATAGCACTGTTGATGAAAAAAAAAGTGTTATACCAATCAGTACCTTGTTACCAGAGCCCAATAATAGTATAATAAATACATCCTCCTAAAGGACTTTGTAACTTCAAGCTATCTACCACGTAGATGATACTGAACTTTCTAAGGTGGATGTTATATTACAAACTACACAAGCGTAGCGATACAAGTAAAATCCAATTTAATAACAGCAATATTAAAATACTGCCAAGTAAGAATGATATATTTAAACTAATTTGGTTAAAAAATTCAATAAGGATAAGTTTCGCAAAAAAGAGTGCAGAAAGTGGATAAAAATTGACCTTAGTCGAGAGTGAAAAGATTTTATAAAATAATATAAACATCAGTTTTCACAAGTTTTAAGGTTAAGGGTCTTAATGGTCATAGAAAAACTTAGGTACTGTTTATCAATAGTGTAAGACATTGAGTCGATTGTAGCAAAAGCCCTACCTGGATGAATATATCATCAAAAGTAATGTAACTTGTAAAAAGAGTTACAAGTTTTACACACATATTTTTAATAGGACAGTAATTTTATTATGAAAGAAAGCACATAAATTATATTAAATTTAATATTTTTCGATTATAATGTATACAACATGTAATATAATTAACGCACTTTGAGAAAGTAGTTTGTTTAGAATCGTTTACTGAATCGATTCCTATCATTTTTAATATAGGTAATTTTTTATCCCAAAAATAATTAAAACTACGTAAATTACAGTCACACTAAATCTGTACAGTCAAAACAAACTGAAATGGACCGTAAATAAAGGCAATAAGACTTTTAAGAGTGCAGTTTTATTGAGTGAGTGAGAGTTGTATTATTACTAATTTTGTCATTCGATAAAAATAAAGAAAAATGAACTTTATTTCATGCACATTAAAGTCTTTGCGTTCGTGGATTTGTACTGTGACCACAACATTCTTCCGGAATTAGTATAACTAATTTGATAAATAATCAGTGCATAAAAATGTTTAACTAAAAATTCAGTGTATGTATTATGATTATAACATAATATACTAATTGGGGTGTCTGAGGGTGTGTGTTAATTACGTTACATATTGTATAGGTGTCTTCAAGACAAGAATGAATAATTGATAGAATCAGGTGTTACTTTGCGGAAATCCATTATAATAAAGATATTAATTGATTTGCAACCTTCCGCTAACTAAATATAATGTGTCTTACCTGAAATGAAGAGCACCTCCCGCCCTCCCTCAATTGCGTGCACCAATCCCGTCACCACTAATCTCAGCACCACTACTCCCAACACCAATATTCCAGGAAAGACACACCATCAACGATAATACGACACGTGTTTCGCCTCTACACGAGGCATCCTCAGGTTATACAGACTGTACGGCGGCTGACCGCTAAGAATCTTAGCTTTTTTATAAGAATGAATAAGCTGTTGTTATGCAAAGTCAGTGTGCTTATCTTTGCTTCGGTTGCAACAGCACCTGCCATCAGGTGGGATATTAGTTAGAAACTGGCTTATAATAATTAATAAAAGGTACTCACGTAGATCTTTCAACCCGCAGTCTCGCATCCCATTCGCGACTAGACGGATACTGTGCTGGTTCATACCCCGATCTGTAGTACACAACCGCGACAGGTCGACCATCGCTGAATTGAAAGAATAACTTTATGAAGAATTACAATCTACATACACAGATTATTACATAATAGGTACTCATTAAAAGTAAATTTTTTATTTACCACTGGTAGGATAAATACTTCTGGTCCTGACAAGAATAAGCAAGAAACTAAGTAGGTTTATTTTATTATAATATAAAATGTAATGGATCCAAAACCATATTTAAAGAATAAGACTGACAAACGAGTACACAGTCCGCCTGATGGTAAGTGGTTGCTGTGGCCCATAGACATCTACATCTATCCTTGGTTAAGAATCAAAATGCATATAACTGGTCATACCTGAGAACTAAGAGGGAATGCTTTGTTTTCAGACTGACAAGACAAACAAAGCATACAAAGCAAAGCAACCCTTTTAACTGAAAATTTCAGTTAAAAGGGTCTGCGAATCTCTACTCTCATCATACGAAACACAGCAGCATTAAGCTGATATTCTGGGGAGCATGGTCCTTACCCCGGTAGAGCTGAACCATTCGTGCTACAACCATAATATAGATGCAGCGTGGCTCTACCACGTAAAATGGTAGCTATCACCATATTCCCAGGGGTTATTTTAATTCATGTATTCCTCAATACTTTTTTATACAGTCTTTGTTTTATAAAGTTTTCAAACTTGTTGATTGACAAATCTTAAACTTCTTCTGCGATTTTGTTGTAAGCCGTATACATTAGCATACAGCAAATTACTAATGCTGTGGAGCCAAGTAACTGGCATAACTGGTTTAGAAAAAAAGAAAGTTTGTGTTTCTAGTATTTTTAGTATGAATACTTTCGCTCTTATCAAAGCAATTTTTGAATTGAAAACTCCTTTAGCATCGTTGTGATTAGAAAGTCTATGAAACAAAAAAGCGACAGTAAAAAGAGACAGACACATAAATTCATAAGATTTAACGAGGGAGAAAATGAGACAGGAAGCATTACAGCTCAATTTAGTTGAGCTGTAAAAAAGTCGTAAACGCCGCCGAAACTGCGTCGTCAAATAGTTTCAACGTCAGCCGTGTTACATCATAGTAAAATTCCGTAAGCATGAGCTAGGAAAGTAACTAAAAACTAATTTTATTATCCGAATTAAGTCTACTTGCTAATTTACATTCATAGAGGCTCCTTTGGAGTTTTGCGTATAGTAGTAATTCCGAAAAAACAGTGGAATCCAAGAGACAAATCTGTCTAGCTTAGAACATCATTTAATATAACTTGACGTGGTAGAGCCGTGGTTGCAGCAAAAATGGATCAGCCCAACTTTAGAAAAAATAGGAGCATAATGCCAACAAATAGCAGAGTAGAGATTTAGTGACCCTTTTTATTGGTAATAAGGCATTCCATGTAAGTTCTCATGAGTGACGTCTTCAAAGCAAGATTCAAAAGGCTTTTGCTACAAGTATTACTAGTACTTTTAATTATTACCGTTAATTATTAGTACTATAAGACAGTGCAATTTACCATTCTAAGGCTTCATCACCAAGAGGGATTGTAGTTAAGCACTGCCATCATCAAGTCTCTTCTACATTATAATTCTTAATCGATAATCAGATACAGGTGTATCTTGACCACAGTTACACTTACCATCAGTTGAACTGTATGCTTGTCACCCTCACTTCTATAAGAAAAACATTATAGTGTATATGACTGTAATAATTAAATAAATGCCCAGTTAATATGAACTGATGAAGTATAATAGAACGATGTGGTATAAACTCGGAAGTATTAAATAGCTTTCGACTTCCTGTAAAAATTGTTTAAAAAAGAAGAAATAATAATAATAATAATGTCCTCCAGACCGAATTTCGGCCACGGCGGCCTGCCTCAACGGAGGCTAGCCATCGGCGCAGGACAGGATTATAGTGCCTAAGTGTATGCGCAAGCACAGTTGCACTCTCTATTCCCCCACTCTCATAATCCGATGGGACATAAACCGACACGACCGGAGAGAGATCAGGCGCAGGACCAACGGCTTTACGTGCTTTCCGAGGCACGGGGGTGAGACACCGCCAACTTCCTGACTCCGAGCAGCTACTGAGAATTTCTTGACAGAAAAACTCAGTAATTGATTTTTTGGCCCGACCCGGGATTCGAACCCAGGACCTCATGATCAACAGCCGCACCACTACTACCACTAGATCAACGAGGCAGTCGAAAGTTTGTGTAAGAAATAATAATATAACAACAATAAAAATAAATATATAAAATTTTATAATTATATTGTCAGACGTCCAGACGTCCGTACGTCACTATTTGTTCGGGCCCACTGAAAACCAGAGCTGTTATTTCAGCGACAGTATAAGCTGAGTGAGGTTCGTTTGCCGCAACCACAACATGAGGAACGTATTTTAACTGTAATTTATAACTATACATACTTTTTCATGTGTAACATCTTTCCTTTCGCTTTACCGTAATCTGTCACAAACGAGAAAGCGCGCGCTATTTGATTTGACCAATGAGCGCGTGGTGATAGTAAATTGTGCTGTTATATAAACTAATTTATATGTGTAAACTATATTAATAAATGTATTTACTGTTGATAATAAGTGTCTAAAAAAAGTGCAGATCATTGATAAAAAATGCAAGTGAGTAATAATGAACAATTATCTGAATAAATATTTCGGTATTTAGCTTTTGTTACACATAAGCGACTACTGTAGGTAAGGCTCGCACGTTTTTTTTTAAATGTTATATCCGTCAAATTGTTATTTCTTAAAAAAATAAAAATTATATTTTTAAATTTATGTGTCTACAAATATTGAAAATTAAGTGCCTAATGACGTTTCTGGCGTATCGCAATAAGTGATTCTTTCTATCTCACTTTAAATTAAAATGTAAGAATCTGCGGCTCGCACTTACAATATGAGTTGTTTTTTATCATTGAGCGTCGTTTCTTCATATATTTCATTTAATGTCTTCCTGTAGATCTGTGAATAAAATTATAACAACATAATTAAATATGTAAGTTTTATATGACGAAAAGTAAAGAGTTCGCTGGGCTATTTTATTATAGATGAGGGGGCAAACGAGCATGCAGCTCACCTGATGGCAAGTGTCGAACAGCTGCCCACGAACAACTGCAACACCAGGGGAATTGCTATTCACTTCATTTCTTTTAGGAGACATAAGAATAATAACTTTATCCAATCTAGGATCTCTAGGCTATTTTTTAGCCTTTGAAAAAAAATGCTCATTAGGGAAACGTGACAGACTCTTGACTTGGGGAAGAAAGGTTCTCGAGTGGCAGCCTCGTACCGGTAGGCGTAGTGTAGGGCGACCCCCCACTAGATGGAGTGATGACCTGGTAAAACATGCAGGAAGTCGATGGATGCAGGTGGCTCAGGACCGTGCTTTGTGGCATTACTTGGGGGAGGCCTATGTTCAGCAGTGGACTTGTGAAGGGCTGTAATGATGAATGATGATGATGAGGGAAACGTGACAGACTCTTCAACTTCTAAGAAATGAGAGGGTCCCGTGCCCAGCGTTGGGCCGTACATATAGAGCGTGTTACTTTTATTCAATGTTAGTATGCATGTAACATAAGAAAACAGAGGAATATTAAATATATTACTCTGTTTGATTCTTTTAATATTTTCAAAAACGTTTAATCTATAAATATAAATAAAAATGAAGTATCTTTCTGCAATGTTGAAATAACCGGCTTGTATTAAACTCGTCTCTCACTTGACACTCATTTTTTATCTGTCTGTATGACTGTTCAGGCCAATTTTTGAACGGTTAACCCGATTGATATGAAACTTTACGAAAAGGTAAGAGAGCAAACACAGGAGAGCTCTAGGCTGTATATATATTATCTCAAAAACTTGAAATTTTTTCGAAGTGAAACTTGATGTGTAACTTCTTTATCGACGTAGTGAAGAAATTTAATATGATAATTAAAAAAACGTCACGTTTTCACGTAACGTTTTAGCGCGGAGCTACATGAGTATACTAATATTTAACCTACTTTCTTCTTCTATCTTTGATCTTTGATGCCAGTATTAAATGTCTATTTACTAGAGTCTTTGTTACTATCATTGTTACCTGAATATCCGGCCTCTTCTCCGATATTTCAAATTCGTGGAACCTCTGGTCACAGATGTTGTAAGACACCTCCTCAACCACAAAAAAGAATAACCGCAGTAGGAACACCAAATAAATCGTACGCCTCGGTTATTCCTGCACAAAGCCCTGAAAGTGCGTGGTTTTCTGGCATCTGAAACAGAAAATCGTTTTGTATGAATCTAAATGAAAAGTAAAAACGTACATGAGATAGGCAGCAGCATCATCCTGATAACAAATCAAAATTAAAAAAAAAATCTGCTGATTAAAAAAGCCGCAGTGTGGCAACTAAGGCAAATATACCTATAGGCAATCTATGGTGTATATACAGCAATAGAATTTTCTGAGCTGTCATAAAGTTTCAAGTCTAACTCATCGGAAAGCTAGTTTAAAATCGATTCCAAAAGACAACGGGGAACTCCCAAACAAATTTTTGTTGACATTTTTTTCTTGCGTCTACAAATTAAAAATATGAAAAATTGTTGAAGAGAGTTTGATATCCCGAATAATTTTTTCGTCAGTCACCAGGAAGTCAGGAATTAAAGATATCCCACTTTGAAGAAAATTCACATCAGACAAGGATGTATGGTATAAGAACTTTGCCTGACTTAATTAGTTATGTAGGTGTGGTCGCGTATGGTAGACCGGTACGCCTACTAAATACTCCGTAAAGTGGTTCGATATTACTCGCAACCATCTAACCACAAAACCTACACTATGTATTCTTATTAGTATATTGTTAACTAACGAATACTAATGAAGGATAGGAATAAGAATTTAATGACTCGAATGAAGTAATGTTATTTCTATGTAACAAACAACTTTTACTACAAACAATTTTACAAGGTGAAATTAACTACGAGAACAATGTAAGTTAATTGAGATAAGTAGCGCGTCGCATCCTGTTGCTATGCCGGTTGCAGGCGGAATGAATCGTCGCACAGTCTCGCGATCCGATGAAGGCGCGGGGTCATATCTTATCGATGACTCGTATTGTTCCCTGGTAGTGGCGTGATATAAGCGTGTGGCTTAATCTTCATGCGCGTAGCGGATTTACGTAGGTCTAAGTGAAGCGAGTTACGCCACATATTCCCCCTGACCAGACCGTAACTACGGTCGATAGTAATCCGTGAATCTTACTTTTCGGCCACTCCGCGTGATTTTCTCCTTGTTGATGGCAGGTTCCGTAGGGACTTTGGGTTCCGGTTCTTTTGTTTCTTTGGCCATATAAGCTGGTTTAAGTCTGTCCACAGATGTTGTTTTTCTTTCCCCTTATTTCTATGGTGAAGTACTTGGCTTGCCTGTCTAGTACTTTGAAGGGTCCGTCGTAGGGTGGTTCAAGTGGGCTTCTGACGTGATCTCGGCGTAGAAAGTATAAACAACAACAAGTCAATATATATATTCAATTATGCTTATATAGAGTAATTACTAGCACAGAGGGAATTCTAAAATAACGCATTAGTATATTGAGAAGAGGTGTGTGAATAAAATACAGAACATACTAGGTTGTATGGTGTAAGGCCTTTGCCGTAAGACTGCAAACGGTAACAACTACAACAACTAGTCAACTTAGATTTATATTACGTAGTATGAGGACTTTTTTTCCAGACTTCGATAGGCCATAAGCTTAATAAGATAATACATAGTAAATTATTTTATTGATATCTGTAATGGTCACATAAGTAGACGCTTAATAATTTCATCAACAATTTTTTCGCCATTGTTCTTTTATACCTAACGGACGAACAGGAGAAAACGAATTAAATAAAACGTGGTAAAATACTTACATTTTTAATGAGATCTCCACGTCCCAACTGCCGCAGGATGTAGCTGAAATTGAAAAATAATTAATAAATTCTTCAACAAAATTTCAATTATATTTAAAAACAATACCAACACAAACATTGATAGCAAATGCAGTGGTGAAGGGTTATATTACGGAAAGCAACCCCATAATATGGTTATAACAGAATGAGACATGGTAGCCGAACTTATTGCGACAAGCTTACTCGCTTTAACCTTTAAGGATGCTGCTTTCAGTGATATATATTTTAAAACTACGAAAGGAATATTAAATTGTTAAAAGTCAGTGTTTTAATTACAGAAAAACAAACTATTACATAACTATATTGTTAAGAGTATAACACTACTAATTAAATTTGTCTCCTCTATTCTTAAATTTGATCGTAACCTTATATAGGTTAATCATTAAATAATTAAATTATAGTTTAAAAAAACTAACGAAACACCCTAAAGATCCTGGTGATCCTGATCAGGATACCAGGTTAAAATTATAAAATTATAATATTTTTTATTAATAATATTATAAAATTATAATAGTTGCCTATAGCCGACTGAGTTGTCGACATCAGCTCGGCTATTAATATTATATATAATATTAATAAATGGTATGTTGTCAAGAATACTTCGAGGAATTTTCAAAGTAAAATGAGTCCAGAACAAGCACGTATTTGAATGCCGTACTTCTTCATTGTTTCATAAAAGCTGGCCGGGTATTGTGCTCTGGTTGAAAACACATTTCTTCGTTTTCGTGAGCGACAATAGAGAAAAACAAAATTGGTCTTCGTTAAAATCCAATAAAAAGTGTTTTAATTACTGTATCAACTATCTTGTTTCAGGCCCAGTACATTAGTTATTTTATCTCATTAATGTTGATAAGAATGGAGGAGATCAAAATATTTACCATATTTAAAACTACATAATAAAATACATATTAATCTAATATGATACCAACTGATATTCGTAGACTCATCCCTCACCTGCACGTACACAAAAGAGTATTTTTAACCGACTTCAAAAAGGAAGAGGTACACAATTCGACCACATGTTTTTATATGTGTTACCTTAAAAATTTTTTTAGGTGAATCGATTTTGATTATTCTTTTTTTTATTTGAAAGCTGGTGCTTCTCATGTGGTCCCATATAAATTTGATAAAGATCTGACCAGTAGTCTTTGAGTTGTCCTTAATAATTCGTATTTAATTTACTTCGAATACATTGATTGTGTTCTCATTTTATTTAAATTGAAGTTGGTTCCACAACATTTTTAATTTTACCACTTGTCAGTTCAAAGAAGTCATACTAGTTTGAGCAAGATTCCTTGTTAAACTTATAGAAGGTTATTATCACAAGTGGTAAGGTTAAGAGTAAACGAATAACACCAATGACAATGCAAAATATGAGAAATCTACAATTATACATATTCATACAAAGCTCTACATGCAAATTATATAAAATATAGTTTACAGTCTTGGATTGTTCTGACACTGCTCTTCATCATACGTATATTTTAACGTTTCTCAAATGAGGATTATGAATACTTCATCATACATATATTTTAACGTTTCTCAAATGAGGATTATGAATATTCCGTTATATGTACAACCTATTTTTTATTCTAGTATGTTTTTGTGAAAAAAAAGGTCTTACTGGGTTTCTATCTGGTTCATCTCAGTTCAATAAAGAATTATTTATTATCTATATTGCATAAAAATTATAGTCTAATTGTCTTAGTGTCTTAAGATTTGGTCGACTTTCCTTTCCAAATTAAATGAAATTTTTGGTATTCAAAAATATATAGAATTTTAGAATCCTGTATTTACAAGCAAATTTCTACATTTATTTCGAAATATAACCTACTGTGAGTACACATCACTCTGGGTTTCGCTCAAGTCATAGTACCACTACTGCTTTAATTAACGCCACATACGATATAAGACAAGGAATGGAAGAAAAAAAGTAACAGTACTGGTACTAGTTGATTTCTCAAACGCTTTCAACACAGTTGATCATGAAATCCTCCTTTTCATACTGTCTCATCTGAAGTTTTGTTTATTTTCCGGCTACGTAGTAGGGCCATATTTCACAATAAATGGACAGAAAGTCGTAGATGGCCCTCACTGACTACAAAATCTATGACGTCATTATACTGTTTTATCTAACGATTTCTATATACATGTTTGTTTTGGCAACTCAAAAAGTATTTCAACTGGCGATAGTATCGACATTTTAATATTAAAATGTAGTAATTATTTAATGTCTGGTGACTTTATAAGTAGCATGTTTTAAGTAGTGAAAAGCTGAATGGAGTGGTAGCAAAAAAGTTTAACATTATAATACACCTCGGTGTGGCGGCCCCAAGGTGGGTGCGGGAGCGCCAAAGAGCGTGCGAACAAGGCGGCCAGTCAGCTGTTTTAATGTTTCATATCCATATTGAGTGTATTGAAGCGGCTCTAGGGAATTCGCTTATTACAAAAACGTTAAATAAGAAAATTATTCTTATTATAATTTCCACAAAATATGATTTAAATTCGATTAAAATTTGCCCCGCTATTTGAGCCGGTCTAAAAGGTCAAACCAGTTTTTTATTTAAGCCCATTTCTGGGCCCATATTGATCATGAAAGCGGATTTCTTATATTTACGTGAACACTACACATTTAAATAATAGTAGTTTTTACGGATTTTATCGCGTATATTTAACTTTATAAATATCCGTCGTTTCGAGCACTTTACAGCACCCATGGTCACGGGGGAGGCTAAAATGGGGAGGATAAAAAAATTAAAAAATTATATTAAACTAACCGCGTAACCGCGGTTAACTAGGACATCTAGACGTTGAACATCTTAGTCTCCCCCCGTGACCATGGGTGCTGTAAAGCGCTCGAAACGTCGGGTATTTAAAAAGTTAAATACACGCGATATGATCCGTAAAAATTAGTATTATTTAAACATGAAAGCCGAGTTTTTATAAGAATATTATAAGGAAAGACGACTTTGTGGCTAGCAAGGGATGGTTAAACCTAGAGGATGGTAACAGGAGAAAAACTCTAATGATACATTCCGCATAGAGTCATTTAAATTATATCTTTTTCTAGTCTCTATAGTACGACAAATTTGATCATCTGACACCGCCTAGCAAAACATTCGTCGGATTACCGCGGGTCAAGGATTACCGTCGCGTTTTTTGTTCGTTCTTTAAGAATGCCGACTACGTTAATTGAAACTTTTAATATGTAAGCCTTGTTGGTCTAGTAGTCAAAACCGCGACTGCTGATCATGTAGCCCCGGGTTCGAATCTCGAAGTTTGGCCATAATCAGCTATTGAGTTTGTCTCTTTTTGCTTGTATAGCTATCTAACTACCTATTTTTTACTTTTTAACTCCGAAGAAGTATACTGCGTACTCTTCTGGAGGGCGATTGTGTAACTGGTGGATATCGATTGCCGATGCGATTCACTCAGCAACGAATGCAGTTGTTTTTTTTTTTAAAGTAAAGTGGTAAACGAACTTATAATCCATGTATATCCTATAGGTGCGTTGTCACCTCTGAGGACTAAGATGGAATGCGTCTACCTGTAACTGGCCATCGCGTGTACATCCATTCTGTGAAAGAGAAAAAGCTATAGTTTCACAAAAGAGTGAGCAGTCTGCCTGATGTTAAGTTCTGCAGACCAGACAGCAGCTGCTCCTGCAACTGCGAGAAACGGCCGTTGTCGCCTTGTCATCCCTAAGGACTAAGATTTTAATTGAATTGAATTTTAATTGCAACCACAAAATTATGACACCTCCATGATTAATCCAAAAATGATAACGTAATAAAATATCAATGTACCACCCGTGCTCGTGTATGTGTGTGAAAGAGGGCAAGCTTACATTGAATCGTTGAAAGATGTGTACCCTAAGCCGAAACCAGCAATGAGCGGGACGACAATACGATACATGAACAATAACCACGCGGAAAACACCATTTTATTTACCGACAATGCAGGCCTCAGGTAACATCTCTCAAGTGAACACTACTGAAGCTATGCGTTCAAAATACACACACTAAACGTTCTAAATCTAAAAACAAATGTTTTTGTTTGTAACATTGCGAACATGCCAGTTACAATACAATGCAAAAAAGCGTAAGCAGTGCAGTGTATACAGATTTAAAAAAATAAATAAACAAACAAGCAATATTCAGTGACATGAAAAATGGTTGCATAGCGTGCGATGGTAGGAGCAGTCACATGAGAGATGTTGACTGAATCGCCGTTTGTGCGTTGAGTGTGACGTCGAAGCTATATGTCAATCAAGGATCAACTTACGTCAAATGCGAATATATATTTTTTTAATTCTAGCTTAACTAGTCATTACTCCACACACTAAACGGCAGCACAAAACATGTCGGTACCGAAACATGGCAGGTAGATTGGACGTCATGGCGCCAAAACTCGCCGCGATCGTGTTAAATTCCACTTGCTTTATTCGGTTCGCCTCTGTGCACTGCATCAGGTAGTCGGAGCGGAAGAGGCCAAGGCTGATTGACTGTAAAATTTAATCGTTTTTAACACTTTCCAAACACTTAGCATATTTGAGGCGGCCAACTTTATGATGAATTAATACGAGCATGGGGTGACAAACGAGCACATAGTCCGCCTGATGCTTACTAGATTTTGTGGCCGATAGACACCTTTATCCTGATGAAGAATAAACGCAAATGAATTGTCACCCTTCAGAATGTGAACTAAGTTGCGATGCCCCGTTACCAGTAAAATGGGTCGCCGGTTCTCGCTAATCACGATACGAAACACAGCATCATTGTGCCGCTATTTTATGCGTGGTATGTATTGGTATTTTGCGTGGGTGTGGTCCTTCTCCAGTCAAAACATAATATGCTGAAGTGTGGCTCTACCACACATAAATTTACAACATTTTTCATATAAATTTTAATAAAAGTATTGCGCGTAAGTTGTAAGAATAAATAATGAAAACTAAAGATGTAAGGTTTCTTCAACTTTATATGTAACTGTTTTTCAAAATCAACAGAGTATAACTAAACGAAATAAGCACACAGCTTTTTTTTTTGCTATGGCACACACGCGATGTTTTTCTTTTGTAGAATATACTTAGTTAAGAGAGGACGAGAACCTTCTACTTCTTAAAAGAAGTCCGCAAACTTGTGCCAATATTTAAAACTTTTTTAAAACCAGACAATCGTAGCCTTGGATTTACGAGTATACATTATACTGTATTCTATCATATTCTCTCGCAGGCCTATAAAAGTATAATGCCGGCACGAGTCGTGAGCACACTTTTTATTGGTTGATATGACGTTGAACACGCTGACGTTCAACGTGATTGGTTAGTCTGCCGATGGTCGTCGTCTATTGGGTTCCCGACTGTACCGTAGTGTATCATTCGGCTACCGTACACTTGAGAGCAATTTTAGTGACAACTTTATAATTAGTTTATTTTTGTTAATTATTTTAATTACCTCCTCTTAATTGTTTTCGTTATTATAATTTTAGTGGTCAGTTTTGATCTAAATATGCAGATAATAAGGAATTAAATGTAACATAGATAATCTCGAAAAATGGTCTATTCAGTGTTTAGTTACATTAAAAAAATTAGGTATTGCAAAAAATATTTACGACGTTTATAAACAGACTGCTATAATAAAAGGAGTATAGTTAAGGAAGTTAACGACTCAGAATTTCTGATCGTATTTTGACCAAATAACAGAGGAGTTTATCATTAAAGTGAGCAATGATGACTCTGAGTCTAGTTCGGAGGATGAGGATGACGACAAAGATTATGAACTGGAAGATGAAGGGACCTCTACTAGCACCGCAACTTCAGATTTTATGGAAGGCATATCACCTCTTCCTTCCTCTTATTAAAATATACAATTCTAACCACATGTAAATTGTTCTATTGAGTTTTACAGACATAGGTATACATTAAATACTATATAGTAGATAATAAAATAATGGTCACGAATATCTGCAAGATTACTGTATCAAAGTAAAGTTTATGTATTCAGGTAAATATTTTCAAGTCGGCGAAAATATTCAATTACCAATTGAAATAATAAAGGAACCTTGGGCGACAGTGTTAATAAAGGAATTTGGGCCGACAGTGTCCCTATGCTGGCTCAACCCCCACCACAGTTCATCTGTGTTCACGACTCGTGTCGGTAACTATATATGTTAGTCTTTTTTTAGTGTTGCTTTTTCGTTTCATCGAGTAAAATCACGATTTTAAAGAATTTTTTACTTCAAAAACCCACTTGTTGCTATTCTTATTAAAAAAATTATAACATAAACACTCACGCATGTCATCCAGAGGGGTAGGCAGAACTACGACTTCCATTTGGCACGATCCTGACATACCTCCCTCGAATCCTTTACATCCGTATATCTACGCACACACACTCGTCGGTTGAGGGAACTTTTTATTGGGTCACCATTTACAGAAACCTCCAATTTGGTCGATAAACTTTCGTCTAGGGCATCCCTTCCCGTCTCTGCCGTTCACATCTGCCATATAAATTTTCTTTGCCACTCTTTCCTCATTCATTCTTTCTACATGACCAAACCACCGAAGCATTCCTTTCTTAATCCTGGTCACAACATCATCTTGTATACCACATTTTTCTCTTATCACACAATTTCTCACCCTGTCATTCAGATTCAACCTTAGCATACTCCTTAAAGACCGCATTTCTACAGCATTTATTCGACTTTCGTGCTTCTTCTGCCTCACCCAACTTTCACTACCATACATTGAAGTAGGGATTAACACAGCATTATGAATTACCATACGTGCCTTTTTGACATATTCTGATTCTTCATAATAGAATGTAGAGCCCCATTCACTCTATTTCCTGCATTCATTCGCCGTTCTATATCCTTATCATGTCTACCACGCCTGCTAAATGCACATCCCAAATACACAAACTCATCCACTTGCTCAATCAACTCCCCTTCGATTCTTATTTCACATAACGTTTTACTTTCTTCTCTTTCAAAAAAAATCACTTTCGTCTTACTCGTCTTACTTGCGTTCGCTTTCATCCCCCTTTCTTTTAATGCTCAGTTCATTAATGTAACCCTACATTTGCAACTCAGCCGCCGACGACGCAAATATGACTTGATCATCGGCATACAAAAGGCATTTGACGGTTAACTCGCCCATTCTTAACCCACATACTTCATCTTTCAACGTTTGCAAACAACTTATTATATTATATATAAAAACAGTGGATTTATTTTTTTAAACTGAATAGAGTTAGTTTTTCTTCATCGTCGCTCTACATAACAAACGTGCTAGTAATCAGTGACCTCTCTGACCGAATTACCATACAGTTTCTCATGCTATGGATAAAGTAACTAGCCTTGTTGCCATATCTCAAAGGGGGACGCCCATTTTCGGCCATGGAACGCCCAACAATGTGAATTTGTTAAAAAATTATATCTTTATTTATGGTTATTAATCGCGGTATTCATTTATCCTCAAACAATGGGAATATTTTTGCACAAATTAAAAGTACCGGAAACATAATAATAAAAATTAGGTAAATCATTATGTCATTAGTTTGTAAATAAAAAAAAAGTGTTGCCAATCACAAAACACATTTAAAAAATCGATTCTCTTTTTCGATCGATTATTTACGATGTCATCATTACAGTGCTAATATAATTTTTAAATAATTATGATGTTACGATAATTAAACAAGCGAATTACTAGCTGATTTCTAATGAATTCTTTAGAGAGTAACAAATGCTACGGCACAATTTAACTGTTAATCTTTTAAGGTTAAGTTATTCCTATCTGTTTATAACAACACATTTAAAATAGAATCATGTTATGATAACGAAACAAGTTAGTTTCCAGCTAATTTACCATGAATCCTTTAACCTTTTGAGCGCCAAAGTCGCCTATACTTGACCAACACCTGCGTGCCCTGAGCGCCAACGACGTCTATAGTTGACAAAAAACCCGGCTCCGAAAAATATGAAATATAGATATTGGAAAATTATTACAGGTATTTTAATTCTACACTCCTCAAAATAGGAATAACCCAGCAACATGTGAGTATAAAAAACAAGTCTTCTAGAGCCACAAGTACTAAGAAACATTGAACTAATAAAAATGGATTTTTATCTAAGCAAATACTATGTCCAGCACGCCAAAGTCGTCTATGGTTGACCGCTAGTATCAAACGCGGGAGGCATAGATTTCTTGAAAACTATCCAAAATTCAGCTCAATGGTGTTTTTTTTTTCTATTATTATTGATATTTGAATAAAATTAAAGGTTATAAACATAAAACTATAATTAGCTACATGAATAAAAAAATGTTATCAGATTATCTTCGCATAATAAATCTAATATCTCAACTCTAGCGCATCTTTAGCGCGTCATCGAAAATCAGTTCACTGGGCACCGTGATCAAGGATAGACGACACCCTGATGACGTCATAAGTGATTACCGAGAAAAGTAGAGCAATGCAACATGAACGATTCCTCAGAACTCATTCGGATTTTGGAAAGCGTCGATGATGATGAATTTTGATTTTTGATTGATGAATTGAATTTTTGATTGATTGGTGAACAAATATGTTTATTTATTCCATGACCAAGATTTTAGTATTATACGGCTGATTTACCTAGTGCGAATAATTATATACAATTGTTGATTAATGAATAATTATGTACCTTCTTTAATAATAATACAAAATTACAATTAATGTTTTTTTTACTTAGGGTGTGAAGAGCAATTTTTCATTTTGTGTTGTGCCATTTTCTTTCTCAGTCTCAAAATCATCTAGCAGAATCAGCATCATATCAAATCCCCATTTTCATAAGAGTGTAAGACTTTTCTTCTGTGCGTCACTTGGCCTACGCCTTCCCCGACACATAAAATATTATGAATCGATGTCTGTATATTTCGGTTAGATCGATTTTGAAATCGATACACAACATTCTAAGAATGTTTCAAAAGGGAAGGTCAGCTACGCCGTTGTCGTCCAGTCGCGACAGTGTCGTCATTAGGATGGAGAGTAGTGCTAATGTTTACTACTATTTTATTGTTATTGTTTGTTTTTTATTTATGTTTATATGTACAAAGTACATATATAAAAAGAGTGGAAGACGGCACAAGATTAAATAAAACATACAGTTTATTAAGAGTCATTTATAGCATAAAAAAACCAACAAAAACAAGTTATTTCACGTTACCGATATATCAACTCTTGGCAACACTATTTTGTTTTGGCGCTTTGGCGTACAGGACACGGTAATGCGTTTTTGGCGTGGCGCTCAAAAGGTTAAAGCTTAACAAAACGCAACTGCACAATTTTTATCAATTTCAAGACAAAAACAACCGTTGTTATCGGCTTGGTTGAAAACGTTAACAACCGCCTTCACATCTGTAGTTATGATAATTAAATAAGCGATTTAATAGCTGATTTACAATGAATTCTATGCAGTATAACATAACGCTACTGCACAATATAACTGTTATTCTTATCTTTTCTTAAC